GAGGAGCCCCGGGGCCCCTGCTGCCCTGAACCGCAGCGCCGCGACCACCGCCCGCAGATCCGGTCCTTCTCATCCCCTCCGCGCCCAGCCCGCGGGGGGCTTTCCCTGGACTCCCGCGCTGAGCCGCAGTGCGCCCGCTTCCCCCTTCTCTTGCTCTTTCTCACTCCTTTAAGAGCCCGGGTCCTGGTCACCAAGGGCACCAGTCACTAATGGCAGCCCCTGGACAGACAGAGGCAAGGGCAGGGAGCGTTTGTGATGCCCCTCGCATCTCAGCACGTGGGCCGAGGAGAGGAGAGGGAAGAGGAAGAGGAAGAGCAGAGGAGGGGCCCGCCTGCGCGGCTGTGAGGACGGGAAGAGGCGCGGGAGCCCGAGCTCAGTTCCCTGTGACCCCAGCCCCCACCCCCAAATGTCGCAAGCGGTGCCTTCCTCCCCCAGGGCAGCCTGGCTTGCTGGGCTGGTCTCCCAGGTCTGCAACGACACGTCGGGGCACTCTCTAGCGAGCACGCAGTGTGTTGAGTGCTGGACCTAATACCCTAACACCACTCTGTGCCATTTCACCTGATCAGCACGAGTTCTGCGTTAGTTTGTCCAGGCGTTTTGCTATTTACAACGACAGTCTCTTTCCCTGGAGCACTCTGACCTGGTCTTTTGTACCGGTGTTCAAGGGGAGGGTCCTGACTGGAGACTCACAGGTTCCCAACTCTGAACACAGAAGATACAAGCTCACAAAAGAAAGTCACACAGCCAAAAATAAAGCTGGTTGAATGCGAGGAAACGAAGGGTCTAGACTCAGAGACTTTCTGCCAAGCCCACTACTGTTTGTCCCCAGGCTTGGCAGGAAGGGAGGGTGAAAACCTGAGCTCCTTTCTGACATGCTTTGTTTAAATGCAAAGTGTGTGTGTTCGTGTCCGTGTCCGTGTCCGTGTGCGTGTGTGTGTGCTGCTCACAGTCTACGAAACTCATGTGTCGGATCACAGCTGAGCTAGCTGTGTTCGGCAAACAGCACTGCAACGAATATGCAGCGGCCGTACCCCCACTGGCAGCAGCGGGAGGCTGAGGTGCCCTGCGGACCCTCTGCAGCATGAGTGAGCACCCCAGCGCCGCTGCACTGCGCTGTGCCCTGCACTGAGAGGAGCCAGGCCCTTCCTGGAAAAGAGGCTTCTGGAGCCAGAGGTAATTTCTCTTTCTCTATAGATATGATTCTTCAACCTCTCAAAATGTTACTTTGTAGGGGAACGAGCCTGGCCTGAGAGTCAGAAGACCTGGGTTCAGATCCAGGCCCTGCCATGAAGCAGATGCCTGTCAGGGAGCAAAATCATTCATTCTTCCATCCATTTAACAGATACGCATTGAACATTTGCCATTCACCAGCATCACTCTAGATGTGGGAGATACAGCAGTGAGCAAGGCAACTCTCGGTCTGCACGGAGCTTACATCCTAACAGGGGACCAGGCAACCCACTACGGGGAACGTAAAGCAAGACGAGGGCAGAGCAATGGGGTGCTAACTGTGTTAAGACTGGCCAGGGAGGAGTGGGCTGTGTCAACACATGGGGCAAGGGATTTCTGAGCAGAGGGGCAAACAGGTACAAAGGCCCTGGGGCACGAATGAACTTGGTGTGTTTGAAACAAAACTAGGGAGCCAGTGTCCCTGTCCCTGGCATGGAGTGAAGGAGAATAGTAGTGGGCGAGGGCAGAGATAGGGGGAAACGGACCATGGGGGTCTTGTGAGCCATGGAAGGGAGCTTCAGGTGTTTTCTAAGACTGGTGGGAAGCTGTTGGAAGGATTGGAGCAGGGGAAACACATGATTTGATGTGCATGTGAGAAAGGCCACTCCAGCTCTTGTGTGGGGAAGACTGGTGGGATCAGGTGGGGTGGTGAGAGTGGGTACAAGGAGACCGATTAGGAAATCCCTGCAGAGTCTGGAAAGGAGCAAAGGTGACTTAGCCTAGGGTGGGGACAACTTGGAGGGTGTGGGGACTCATCCTTGGGCTATATTTAGAAGGCAGAGCTAAGAGGGTCTGCTGGTGGATTGAAGGTGTAGGGTGATGGAAGGAGGGGATGAAGAACAACTTCGGGGTTTCTGGCTGAAGCCAATGGTTGAATCATGATTCCATTTATGGAGGTGAGGGCAGGTTTGAGAGGGGAAATCGGGAGTTCAGTTTGGGGCATAATACATTTGAGCACATCATTTTCCCTCGTCTCTTTTGGCCTCTCCCTTCTCAGCTGTAAAGCAAAGGAGATGCCCACGAGATACTCAGGATCTTTCTGTGGCCATTAGGGTTCTTTCTCTTAATTCTTCCACATTCCTGTGTCTTTTAAACCCACCAATACACTTCAAATTCAGAAAAAAGAAGTGACAGGATTCTTCTAATTCTTTTTTGGGGAGAGAAAGGGAGAGAGAGAAAGGGAAGAAACAAAAGCAAGTCCCCATCTCCCATAAGGGGTCCCACCCACACTGATGTCCTGACACCAGGAAAGAGGAAACAGGGTGGAGGGTGAGCGCACTGAGTCAGAGCAGAGGGCACAGATAGAATCCCCAAAAAAGTATGCCTGGCCACAGTCTGACTTAGACTTCATTTCTTACATTTCTTAGGTTTGTATTTGAGAAACTTCAAGGATTTCTGAAAGGAAAAGCATTTTAGACTTTCAATTACAAACTACCTCAAAGTTTGTGATTTGCACCCCAACAGTCATTCAACCTGTCTGAACCTCAGTTTCCTTCACTCTAAAGGTAAAGACCTCTACTATCTCTTCAAGCTAGAAAATTCTGTGATTCAAATGTTTTTAAGGGAAGAAAGAAAGAAAGAAAGAAAACCCCTAATGCATAGTCAAAGAAACTTGAGACTTGAATGGTCAACTTTTGAAAAAGTTTTGCAAATGTTTTTATTATTTATTGGGTATTTACTATGTGCCTGGGGTTGTAAAGATACAACCTTGAAAATACAAGTAAAAGTCCCTTCCTTATGGAGCTTTCACTCTGGTGGAGATAGATAGATAGATAGATAGATAGATAGATAGATAGATAGATAGACAGACAGACAGACAGACAGACAGGCAGGCAGACAGATAGTTAAATAGAGTATCCAGGTGGTGTCAAGTGCTATGGAGAGAAATAAAGCAGAGGAGTGTAGAACATGTCAGGACTGGGTGAGGAGGGGATGGGGACCAGTGATACAATTTTATACAAAGACATTAGGGAAGGTCTCCAGACAGAGGGAAGTGAGTATAAAGTTTCTCAGGTGGAGTCATGCTTAGAGTGTTCTAGGAAGGACAAGGAAGGAAGCAGTGTGACTGGAGATGAGTGTGAGAAAGGGGAAAGGGAGGGGAAGATAGATTTAGAGAGGAGGGGGCTCCGGCTCATCCAGGGCCTTTGGGTGTTAGTGTGAGTGAGATGGGATGTGACTGCAGGACTGGGAGCTGAGGACTGACCTGGAAAAGCAGAGTATGAGCTTGAGGCGTTTTCGATAAGGATTACGTGACTCTGCCCTTTGGGGGCAGGGGCGACACTTGTTAGGGTGGAACGGCCTGTGGAACGTCAGCTGGAGGCGTTCTGCAGGGATGAGCTGCAGTTCCCAGGGAGGGCCTGGCTGGAGCTATGCACTGGGACATCCTGGGATTGTAGGTGGGATCTGGAGCCACAGAAGTGGGTAAAATGGCTTAGGCTGCATGTGTAGAGTCTGAAGAGAAGAGGGCCCAGGGCTGAGCCCTCGAGGGAGGAGTGGCAGCATTTAGGGGTGGGCCAAGAAGGAGCCAGAAGGGAGATGAGGAAGGAGCAGAGTGAGAAGCAAGAGAGGGGCGTCACAGGAAGCTAGAGAAGATGGGACAGGAGGAGAGGTGGACTGGGCTGAAGCTGCGCAAGATGAGGACTGAGAAGTGGCACTGGATTTGGCGTGTAGGGCTGGGCAGGAGCCTCAGCTGAGCTGATGTTTGAAGGAAGTTTCCAGCTGGCTTGGGCTGGGCTCTGTAGCTAGTTGTACAGCAGATTAGGTGTTCCGATGACCCTCCCAACTAAGAGAGCTCAAGTGCTGGGTTAAATATATGTATCTTAAAAGCTTTATCAATGGTTCCCTGAGATAGAATGAAAGCAATAAATCCACAGACTCCAATAATGAAGTTAAACTAGGAACCCTGGCGGATGAGTGAACAAAGATCGCTTTTACCTAAGGGTATGCTGCCTCCTGGAGCCCCGGGCCTTCCACTGGCTGCTGTGCAAGTCTAGGGGATGGATGAGATCATGATCATGAAATAATACCATGGAGCAAAGCCTAGTGGTATTCTCCTGCATACATCTGGAGCTCAGAAGGCTATATCCTCAGAATAAAAGTGAATAAGAATAAATTCGCCATGAAGAAGGCAATTAGCTTGGCTTGACCTTGGCTCTGGGTGGAGAAAAACAATCCTCCCAGGATTTGCAACCATAAGCAAGCCTCAAATGTTTCCTTTTTTCAGTTTTAGTGGGGTTTTTTGGGGGGGGGCAGTAGGTTTACTTATTTATTTATTTTAATGGGGATTCTGGGGATTGAACCCAGAACCTCCTGCATGTGAAGCATGCGCTCTACCACTTGAGCTATGTCCTCCCCCCACAGCCTCAGATATTTTCTGTCCGAATTCATCTGTCTGTTGGCTTGAAAAATCTCAAGCATTTAAATTTAATTTAAATGGTTTTGGTTTGGCAATGCTCTCAGATAACCAGCAGAATGTAAAAAACATCCTTTCTAGGTACCTCAAACAACTTCAATCCAGACCTCGAAAAATTCTCACGGACAAAGTTTCAAGCAAAAACGAACAGTTCACCTTAAAAATTTACAAAACAGACAAGGAAACAAGCTCTATGACTGACAATCAGTAGAAAATCAACAAAAAAATAGACGGCAAAAACAACCAAAGATTTTGGATATTTGCATTTCAGATGGAGAATATAAAATAATTGCGTTTAGTAAGCTTAAACAAGAAGAGAGGCTTAACAACATGAATGTTATTAGAGGCTTAACAACAGGAATGAGAGACTTTAAAGAATGAACAGGCAGGTGTGAGAAATAACCAAATACTGAAAATGAGGACCATAACACTAAAAATGTATGACTCAGCGGATGGATTAAACACCAGAGAAGATGCAGCTGAAGAGAGAATTAGTCAACTAGCAGATAGAGCCAAAGAAATGATTGAGAATGCCATTCGGAGTGATAAAGATATGCAAATTATGAAAGTTAAAAGGCCAGAGGGTAGCATGATAGAATCTACCTTGAAATTGGATTTCTTCTAGAATGGAATAGGGAGAGAATGGGAAAGAGGCAACATTCAGTGTTAAATGCTGATAATTTTTCTAAAATACTGGAGATAATTCGTTGGATTTAGGAAGCCTAACAAATACAAAGAAAAAGAGAGACGGGAGGGGAGAGGGGAGAGAGAGAGAAAAGAAGAGGAAGGAGAAGGAGGAGGGGAAGGAGGACGGAGAGGGGGAAGAGAAGAAATGAAAAGCAGCAGGGGAGAGAAGGCAGCCACTCCACAAAGAAACACAAACTGTCTACAACAGCCTGACAAAGACTGACTTGTAAACAGCAACCATGAAGCCAGACGAGAGTGGAAAATATCTTCAACCTGCTGAGAAAAACGGTGGGAACCTATAACTGAACACTCAGAGGGACTCTCAAGAATGAAGGTGAAGGAGGACAGTTTTGGACAAATAAAGACAGAGAGCTGACCCTTGAGTCCTCTCACGACAGCACATGCTGGAGCATGCAGTCCAGGCGGAAGCGAAATGATCCCCGCCTGGAAGTTTGAGATTCAGAAGAAATGGCGAGTAAACAGAGTGGCAGGTATGTGAGTAAAATAAGAAAAGAATAATTATTATTTACAAAATAGAATACTTATATAATATTATAAAATTATAATGTAACACTTAAAACAAATATCTATAATACATATTTATAAAATATTATTTATAAAATAATAATAAAATACCCATTTATATATGTGTTTGTATGTTGGGGGGTGGGAGGATGGCAGACAGGCTAGAAGCAAAATCCTGGGTTACAGCAGTAGGTACCATGGGAGGGGGCCCGGCAGCAGCCAAGCCTATCTTGCTAGAAAGGAGGGTAAAGGTGTTGTTGACTTTTAACTCTAGAATTTAGTCTATATGTATAAATAGCCTTGGCAACTATTAAAAGGACAGAGATGGGATATGAGCCTTCCAAACTAGTAAGGGGGAAAAAGGATGAAAAAAAAGAAAAAGAAAAAAAACATTACTTTTTTAGAGGGTAAAAGGAAGGCAGAGGAAGAAATGGGTCAAGTAGAAAGTGTATAACAAGAGCTAAGCAAATAAATCCAAATGCATTATTCATCAGAACAGATGTAAATGGACTAAGCATTAGAAGTGAAGCCCTCAACTGTCAGATGGGATTTTTTAGAAAATCAGTTGTTTACAAGAGACTCTTATCAACCACATGGAGACATAGATAGACTGAAAGGTAAAGGATGGAAAAAGATATGTTAGGCAAGAGGTAACCAGCACAAAGCGGTGTCCCTGTATTAACACCAGACAAAAATCAATGTTTAGGCAAATGTTTACAAGAGTTTTAAACAGGTCACCTTATAATGATAGCATCTTTAAATAGAAAGACATAAAAATTCTAAACCTGTATGTCCCTAACAATATCACCTCAAAATATACTAAGTAAAAGTTTGACAGAATGATAAGGAGAAATGGAAAAATCCACATTCATAATGGGAGATTTTAAAACAACTCTCTCAGTAAATGGTGGAAAATGCAGTCAAAAGGAAATCTGTGTTTCATGGAAAATTTGAGCAGTGTGTGATCTAACTGACATTTCTTGAACGTTGCATCTAAACTTGCATACCTTCTTTGTATGCACATAGAACAGTGCAGAAATGCTAGGTTAAAAAGCTGGCCTCAAGGGATATCAAAGGACTGAGGCTTTCAGACCACTTTTTTTTAACGAGGCAATTTAGCTAGAAATCAGTAACAAAAACATAACCAGGATACCCAATATATATGAAATATATGTGAAATATATAAGAAACATACAAAAACAAGACTTTTTAAAAACTTCAAAGCACCTCGTGAGTCAAAGAGGAAGTCATGGTAGAAATCAGAAAATAAACAGAATTGAAAGAAGATGAAAACTTGTGAAATATACCAAAACTTGTAAAATTCCACTGACGTGGTATGAACAGGACGTTTAAGTAGTTTGAAAAGAAGAAAAGCTGAGAACTTCTGAGCTAAGCACTAATTTAGGAAGTTATAGAAAGAACATCAGAATAAAGCTAAGGAAAATGGGGGGATAGAGAGAGAGGAGCAGAAATTAACGAAACAGAAAGCAAGTCTGCAATGGATAGGATCAACAAAACTAATCTTCTTTGATGAGTCTCTGATTATCAGGAAAGATGTGCACGGACGCATGAGTTTAAAATAGATAATAATAAAATATTATGAACAATTTGGTCAATAAATCTGAAAGCTTAGATAACACAGATACATTTCTAGTAGAATACAAATTGACAACACTGGCTCAAGAAGAAATTGAAAACCTGAATATCCTTTAATCCCTAAAAGAAAATAAATGAATAGTCTAAGATCTTCTGTGAAAGAAAACACAAGACCCGCCTGGCTTCTTAGATCAGTTTTACCAAACTTTCAAGAATAATTTATGCTTGAAATGGAATAGAATAGAACAAATAGAGGGCACTTCCTAACTCTGGTGGAAGGCGTGACTGTAAAACTTTAGAGAACAAAATAGGAAAAGTTTCTTAAACCAGACACAAAATGTGCTCCATTATAATCGAGAAAGCCACTGAGAATTCACCAACAGTAAAAGGAAGAATTTAGATCACTGTTATTCCTTCAGAAAATATGACGACATTATCTCATACATTTAAACATACATTTATTCCTTGAAACTTCACTGTTATGTGTAGACCCTTAAAAGACCTGAGTGCATCAGAAGACATGTATAAAAAAACTGCATAAAAACAGTTCAGATCACTGAAGCTAGAAACAACCCAAATGCCCAACAACTGCAGTAACATAAATATATAAACTGGCATAATCTTACACTGGAATAGTGTAAAGCAGCTAAAAGGAACACACCACAGCTGCCCAGGGGAGAGTCTCAAAAGCACACTGTGGACATAAGAAGCAAATCGCAGAAGGCTTCATTCAGTTTGGCTCCATTTATGTAAAACTTAAAACCAGACAAAATGAAAAAGACATCAGGATGGATGCGGGCCATTATTTTGTTGATTCTAAAATACACTTGTTCACCTTTTAATTCTCTAAAATAAGGGTGCATCTTATAAGCAGTTGTGTGTTGTCATCAGCCTTAACAGCACTTTCTTTCTTAGACATGAAATACTGATGCACCTCACAATTGCTGGAGGCTTAGGTTCAGTGAGTTATGGCAGGTGGTAACACTACAGAAAAACAGCAGGATGACTCAGAACATTTGGCATCATGATTATCTATGTCAGGGAGGGAGGGGGCGAGGGAATGGAAGGGGCACCTAGGAGAATTCTGTTTTTTCACCCAGATAGTGAGTATATTGGTATTTGTTTTATTATAATTCTTGAAACAGTGTAGACTCTCACATGTATGAGACTTTTTACAATAAAAGAAGTGTGAGGAGGTAAGGATGTATGTAGTAACTCGGGAAGCCAGAGAGAGAAAGGGGAGAGAGAGGCACGTGGTGGTGGGGGAAGCTGTGGAGGGTGCTACAGGAAGACAGCCGGAGAGCCTGGGAGGCACCAGCCCATCGCACATGGAAAAATCAGGAGAGACGCTTCCTCTATTGCAGCAAGAGAGACAAAGGAAAAGATGGGTTTGTGGAATAGCTGGTGGAATTTTGTGCAGGTTTTCCTTGTGATGGTTTCCAAGTCCTTTACGAAGGATTTATCTGTGCAGTGGGGGTAGTTGGCAGAAATGGCAGAGGTGGACCAGCGGACGTGAGGAGCAGACCTCTAAAACGCTGGACGTGTATTCAATGGCTACTGCGTGCCAGGTGTAAATGAAGAGCTTTTTACATCCAGTATTCTGTCCATCCCCCCCATCAAAGTGGTGAGGTATATAATCGCATAGGAGCCACTAGCTTCCCAGGCTCACCATAACAAGATACCACAGACAGCACGACCCAAACAACAGAAAATGATTTTCTCAAGATTCTGGAGGCTGGAAGCCCAAGATCAAGGTGCTGGCAATGCTGGTTTCTCCTGAGTCCTCATCTTGGTTTGCAGGTGGCCTTCTTTCCTCTGCACGCCTGCTCATGGTGTCTCTTCCCCTTCTAAACATCAGCCCTGTTGGATTAGGACTCTATCCTCTGGCCTCATTTTAACTTCATTACTCCTTTAAATGCCCCAGCTCCAAATACAGTCACATTCTGAGGTACTGGGGGTTCCAAGTTCAACACCTGAACTTGGGGGCGAGGGTAGGGGGTGGAGTGGGACACAATTCAGCCCATAACAATGCCCATAAAGAAATGGAGACTCAGATTGAACAACCTGCCAAGGGCATGCAGTTACCTTGTCAGAGGTGGGATGCAAATACAAGCAGATCAGTCTCAGCATCTGAATGCCCATCATTCCACTAAAAAACAGTCCTGGGTCTAGAAGAATGGAAATGAATGGAAAGGGCTTTTGGAGAATTAAAAAAAAAAAAAAAAAGCTGACCCAAATAAAGGAGTAATATTATCAGACTTTTCAGAGCTGTGCAGTCAGTCCCAGGAAACAGAATAGATGGACTATCCTCTCATAGACTCCCTTTTTAAATATGAGGTTTAATCAGAAAGACTGTAATTTTGGCCAAAATGGCAGGAAAGGCCAACAATTTAGCATCAGTTGAAATCCTGTCCCCTATCCCCTTTTAGAAGCCAGATGCAACTTATGGGCTGGAGAGGGTGACACCTGCTGGGCTCTGGGGAGTATGGGTGGGAACCCGGCTCTTTTCATATGCAGTCCCCTGCTGTCCTCTGCTGGCCAGCTTTAGGAATGCCCAGGAATCTGCCGAAAGCCCCACTTCCTTCAAAACACACAAATCTATAGGGAAACGAGGCAAGAATCTCCTGGAATCAGACCGTGGAGTGTATCAGTCCCACTCCCTTCCATACACATACACACATTTCAAACCAACGGTACAGGCAATCAGCTTTCACTTTGTCGCATTCTGTGCCTGTGCAGCTGTTTTAAAACTTGCTTCCAGTGGTTTCATCACTAAAAGAACACATCTGCTGCCTTCCCAAAAACTATATTTCCCAAGATCCAGGAACATGAGAATTTGAATGCAGGTTTTGACGACCCAACAAAATACTGGTTTGCTCATCATTTCATGCTTTCAAAAATTATAAACTTACTGTAGGTTTGTTCAACTTTTTAAAACCATGATTTCCTAGCTGGTAGTCCAAAGACCCCACCACTTGCTGACAGTATTTTTGTAAAAATAATTCTTTTCATTTTCAAATGTGATTTTAAAAAAATCAGCAGTTCATGTCTTTAGAAATTATCTGTCTGGGGGAAATGTTCTAAGTAATTAGGGAGAAGCATATATAAGTGCCAGAAGAAACCACTGACCTCATGAGAACTCCCGGAGCTCCTGGTCAATGTGCTTCACAGGATGTGCGGCCTTGAGGACCGCAGCGAAATTCAAAACAGGTGGGCTCAAGGGCCGTCAGTGTCCCCATCCTCGCATGGGTCCCCAGACCCCCTTTACACAGTTGCTAGAATGGGCATTTAAAATGCACATCAAATCATAGCACCCTTCTGCCTCTGATGAGGTCAAATGTCACATCTTTGATTTCAGAGTAAAATACAAATTCCTCACCAGCTTTACAAGGCCAAGTGACCTGACTCACGCCGGCCCCTCCAAGTCTGCCCTCGGCCCCCTTTCCTTCCCTTTCAGCTGTTTGCCTTTCATCCTTCAGGGATCTCTCTGTGGCTCTATTCCAATATTCTGCTCGAGCACGTGCTACAGTTTGTAACAATCATGTGTATTGGTCTGCTGTTCATTTCCTGTCTCTACCATGAGGCGTCATCCACCTCGGGTAAGTCCTTGTCCATCTTGCTCTTTGCTGCATCCCCAGGGCCTGACGCGCACACATGTTATCAGTGAGTGAGTGAGTGAAGGAAGTGAGCACAGGAAGGAACTGAGAGGTGAGCAACACCAAAGTCACTCCCTGCAGATCACGTACCCAGTTCATTCCATAGACAGAAGGCGGTCCCATCCCTGGCCCACAGTGTGGGAAGCAAGGAAGGGCAGTCATGGGGTCACTGCAATTTCACCTTTGACTGACACCTCATCGGAACCATTCCTCCCTTCTTAGAGAACATCCGGGAAGCAGGGCCACAAGCCTGAACCCCCGTTTACGACTGGAGGGCCCCAGGGGCAACACAGGCATGTTAACCCCTCAGACGTAATCATCGAGCCAGTGGCGTAGGTACTGATGATGCAAACACCGGCCACTAAACCAATGGACATTTGTGTAGATCCAGCGCTTTCCCCTTGAAAGGGCGGCAGCGCAGTCCCGGAGGCTCACAGCCCTGCTCTGAGGGCGGCACATTAACAATCCCATTTTACAAATGGAAAAGTAACGAGCCCGTGGTCAGTGGGCTGGAGAACCATTCCTGGGCAGCAGGCGTGATGCCTGGCCTTCAGGGGTTCTGGTCTACATCCTCCCCGTCAGACAATCAGAGCCTGAGCAAGGGAAAATACATTCAGAACTGTCATCAGTTCAGAATCTGCAGCCTGGGGAGGCTTGGTGAGGGCCCCCCAAGAGAGGTAGTTCGTGGGGCCAGTAATGCTTGCTTGGCTCCAGGGAGGCCTGGGCCAGACGTCTCGGGGAACAGTCCTCCTCACCACCCCCCCGAAGTGCTACAGGTTGATGTAATTTCTTCTGCCGTCCCTTGCTTCTCTCCTGAGCAGGATGCTGGCCTTGGATCCACAGAGAGTGAGGTCAAGCCTGAATGCGGTGTCCACGAGCCTCCCAGGCAGGGAGGGCAGCCTCAAGGTAGGCTGATCCGGGGGTCCTTCAGGAAGGAGGCCAGCTTCTGGGCCACAGCGTCCAGCTTGGCCGGGCTGGCGTACTGCAGGAGGTTGCCCTTGCGCACAAAGTAGTGCTTCAGGAAGTGCTGGCTCACGCACTTGTGCAGCTTCCTCACCAGGCGCAGGAACGCTTTGCTGAAGACCCGCCAGTCCTTTGGGTCGGGATACTTCTCACAAGTCCAGAAGAGCACTGTCTGTGGAAGGAAGAGGTGGTGTCAGACATCAATCCTTCGGGGCGACTGAGGAGAGTGTCTTCAGGAACGTGACTCAACTCACGTGGCCTCAGAAGCAGGAGGCAGGACCGCCCATGGCAAGCTGGTTCTGCCGTGGATTCACGATGCTCGACCTCAGGTGGGCCCTCAGCCTCATCCTGCGGGTCTCCTATGCCTCTTTGGTACTTTATTCTCTCTTCACGGGCATCTCCAATGATCACCACTCTCCTTAAATACTCAGTCCCCCATCCCCTGCAGATGCTTTGCCGGAAACCCGCATGCCCATGAACCAGCATCCTGCCTTCATCAGCATCTTCCTCTCTGCACCCTCCTAGCAGGCGCAAATCCCTCTGCAGGGC